GCATGCAAAGAGCACGCCTGGAGCTGCTTTGAGATTTAACTCTTGCAGCCTTTTGGAGATGGTACATTATGCTTACAGGAAATTATTTGTGCTAAATCGGTGGAATTGGATGCTGTTTATGGGCAGTGTGCAAGCAGGAAATGTGCACATCAGTGTAGTGTAGATTTTAAGTCGGACTAGGAGTCCAGGTAAACATTTGATAAGGGACTTTTGTTTGTGGAAGCTTAAATGATACTTCTGTGTTTTGCGATGACGGATATGTGAACCTTATGTAATCAAAACAGAAGTAAGCATTTTTAGGTGGAGCTGCAATCACGTCTTGCTTTCCTGACATGTGCTATCTTGTCTTTTACCCTCTTTCACTCAGGGATGCAGTGCAGCTGAATGTCCTGGCCACTCAGATGATGCTGGCCCTGGCTCACAGGATGAAGCACCTGGAGGTTTTTATTCACATCTCCACAGCCTATGCCAACTGTAACCGAGAGCTCATCGAGGAAGTCGTCTACTCTCCCTCCGTAGACTACCGAAAACTCATTGACACTCTGGAGTAAGCTGATCTGGAATGTGATCAAACAGCACTGACGCCAAACGTCTGCTTCACGTGTGCAGATATGAGGACGTAGCAGTCATTGCTAAACAGCAGCATTAAGTTTAATCGTTTTTTTTTTCCAGACTTTGATGGATTAAAAGCAAGTAGGATGTGCATTTCAAGATTAATGCCAGTGAAATAAAGCGAAGCACTTCAGCTTAACTCTGGCTTTACAGTAAATGGCTCAAGATAGATTAGTAAAGTCTGTGGAGTAGAGATTAGTGCTATGATTCTGGGGGATTTTATGTACAGAGCTGTTCAGTGAACATTTGAGTGCGTGTGCAAAGAGACAGCATGCAGAGTTTGTTGTGTACAGTACACATTGTACTTCTGGATGGGCAGAGTTGCTCGAGGCTGTTGTGTAGCGGTTGAATAGTGATGAGTGAAACGACCTAAATGAGCTGGAATATCATTTTTCCTTTTGCCTCAACTCTGGCTTTTATATGGAAGGTGGAGCAGATGGGTGTTGTTGGCAATCTTCAGGTCTCTCTTTTTACCTTGTTCCAGTTATGTAATCATGACAACTGTGTTGTTCGTGTTTGCATTTCTTTGTTCTGAGCACATTTTTAGGAGTGTAATCACATGGGTTTGCATGGAAGAGAGGGTTGAACTCTTTTCCCACCTGGTCTGTTGGACTTTTTTCCTTTTCTTTTTCTCTCACGCTTGAGAACAGTCCAAAAGAGCAAATCGTACTGCTTAGCAGACTTGCTGCAGACTGAATAAATTAATAAAACTGTGGGCATTGGTAATGAAATGAGGTGTTTTGGTCCATTTAATGAACTTGTGCATTTCCTCAGACATCAAACAGCAGTTATTCTCTTTACACACATTATCTATAGACTGTATATAAAAAATGGATGTGTATACATGTCCATTTATTTATTATAAAAAAGCAAAAACATGGAAGTTGCCATTTTGAGATGCTCTCAACTTTCTGAATTCCACATTGTAGAGATTTTGGATGTTTTTGGTGTTGACAGCCGTCCCAAAATCCCTTCATTGTAGTTTTAGAGTAATCTTTGATGAGTGAACACTGTTGGTTTGGCTCTAATTTGAGCTTAATGTAGCTCATTACTACTTGTTTGCCCTTTCCCCTGGTGTGTTTGTTAGTGAAATGTTGTGTGTAATGAGAGCGTGGTGCAGCGTGGGAGAGACGATGACATTTTACACAAACGGGTTTAAGCAGATGGTGAATTCTAAGTCTAAAGGGAAAAGAAGGAAATATTGTTTTGGCTGTTATACTTTTGTCCTGTAATTACAGCTGGTTTGATTTTTGTGTGAGTAAGGCTCCCCTGGAGGTGTGGCTTCCTAACGCTTGAAGCGAGTTATCGTGAACAGCAGCAGTAGTGACAGATGTGACAACCTACAATACGTAGGTATTGCAAAGCGTTGAGGGGAATGTGTCATTGCCTTTTGGATATTCTCTGGGTTTAAATGTTGTTGGGGCAGTCACCCACACAGTGATTAGTACTGGAGAATGAGCAATATTTCTGTTTACTTCACAGACTGGAAAGCGCTGCAGGTCATAAAATTAAATGAAGCAAATACAGGGCTAATCTCTCTGTCTCTCTCGGTCCAGCTGGATGGATGACGATCTGGTATCTACACTGACTCCCAAGCTAATTGGAGAACATCCCAACACTTACACCTTCACCAAATCTCTGGCCGAATATATGGTGCAGCAGGAGGCTGGAGACCTCAACGTAGGCATTGTCAGACCCTCCATAGTTGGAGCCAGCTGGAAAGAGCCCTTCCCAGTGAGTAATTCCAGATGCTGGTGTTACGCTGTGTTTTCATTATTACAAAGAACAATGCATGCTCTTGTCTTTTATATATTATTTGGTCTTCTTCACCTCTCCTTTTTGCCAAGCACAATTGTGGGAATTCTCCTAAAGTTTAAGCAGCAGTGTGATTTATTTATTTATTTATTTTTATTAAGTCAGTTGAACATCTGCCTGAAAGTTATATTTCAGCTTTAATATTTTCATTGCTTCTGTTAAACTTTGTCATTCAGCTTTGAGTAAGCGCATTGCTTCAACATTAATATTCTATCTTTCAGGGCTGGATTGATAACTTCAATGGACCCAGTGGGATTTTCATTGCAGTGAGTACACAGGAAACATAACTGTAGGTGGGGTCTAGAAGTCTAAACTGTTTTATGATTGCTCGTATTTACAGCACAATCAGAGAGCTTTGAGTGGTATTGAAGTATTTAGGATTCAGGTGGTAATTTACTGTTATTCATGATGATTGGTTACATAAACAACTGTGCCGTATGTTTGCTTTGAAGAGCTAGTTGTGGTTTATTAATTGTTATAAAGTCTGTGGTGTGTTTTCCACAAATCTGTTGCATTAATACTTCCTCTACGCCGCCCCCTCTTAGGCTGGTAAAGGGATCCTCCGAACAATGAGAGCATCTAATAATGCTGTGGCTGACCTGGTTCCTGTAGATGTGGTCATCAACACTACGCTGGCTGCAGGCTGGTACTCAGGATCGCAGGTGCTTAACAGGTGAGAGACCCACATATTAACACAACTTTAGTCAATATCTGTTTTTGAATTCATCTTAGTTCCTCTGACATCTTTCCCTTTTTACGGCAGGCCTAAAAGCATACCCGTGTACAATTGTACAACTGGTGGGATTAACCCGTTTCGCTGGGGAGAAGTCGGTAAGACAATTTCTTGCCTAAACGCAGCCTATGAGTGGGGGAAGCCCCTGACAGTGGAAGCTTATGCGCTTTAACGTGGCGTCTAATGATATACCCTCACTATAACCCGATTCCTGGCCTGCCACACCCAAAGCAGAAGCTTTTGTTTACCTGTCCCTTATGGATATAGATTTAGGGCAGGAAAGTATCCCAAGCGCATCTTTCCCCAGTATAGAAGTTGCACATTTTGGAAAACTGTTCATAATCTCATCATGTCCTGTATTTGTGCTGAATTCTCTTAATGCTTTGCATTTAAATTTCATGGTTTAAACTGTAGCTCCTGCTCTAAGTGCAGTGTTTTAAGCTTTTAAATGTATAACCACTATGTCCTAAAACTTGAATTCTGGTGTGCCGGCAGTTAAATTACTGAGCCAGGTGCAGGGCTTGCATATATAAAATTAGGGTGTCAGCGACCGTGACAGAACGAGCTTGAGAGTCACTCCCCTTTATTTAAAGTTGCACTGTGCATTAAAAAGGTGACAGATAACAGCATGACACAGTTTCAAATAGGAACTGAGAACAAAATGACTTTATCCAGATCATGTAGAGGCTCGCCTCAGGGTTTAAATGATATTACAATTTCTCTGTTTGCAGATCTTGACAACTTCTGCTGCATACAGTGCTGTGCAAAAGTCTTGAGCCACCCCTCATTTAATTAGTTTGCTT